AGCAACTAGAAGGATGTGCAGCTATGACATACAACTATCTACTGGGGCTTTGGGGGGAAAATAAATAAATAAATAAAATCTTTAAAAAAAAAAAGAGAGTGATAGAAAAGGAAAAAAGAACAACGTGGGGTCAGGGGGAGGGGAAGGGAAGGGAAGGGGGAGGGGAAGGGAAGGGGGGCGAAGAGGAAGGGAAGGGGGAGGGGGAGGGGGAAGAGGGAGGAGAGGGGAGAAGAGGAGAAAAAGAAAGGAGAATAGGATGAAAGAGGAGAAAGGAGGTACCTGCAACTAGACCAAGCTTACTCCTTGTTTTCCAAAATCAGCACTTTTTTGTCACTCTTCCTACCAAGAGCCAACATGAAGAAGCAAATAGTTTCAGAAATCCTATTTTCACTTTACATCTCCATTGAAAACCAGAGAAATAAGAAAAAGCCTGTACGTTTTATGATATTTTCTAGGGCGTGGACAGAGAAGAGGAAGAAAGATTCTTGACGTCCTGCCTTTTTTTTTATGGTCTTCCTAGTTTCCTGTTAATTTCATACCTGAACCTTTGCCATGTAAATAGCGCAGGTAGAGATAAAGTTCACTGGCCCTGGACTCTGGCCTTTGTCTAACACCCACCCCCTCTCTGATCCATCCTCCAGCCCATCACTGGAAAGTTTGGAACTGTTACCGGGAAATTTAGAGCCAGAGAATAAACAGGTCAAGAGGCAGAGCATACCGGCTTCAAACAAGCCTTGTAAGCAAGTACAAAAATACCAGCACATCTGAGGGTTCCTCTCTAGTTGGCTGCTATGTCTTCCTCAAAGAGATGACCTAGATGGGGTTAACTCCATTTCCATTAGTAGGACTCCCGCCGGCGCTGCCAGCCTCTCAGCTTACGCCCACCCTGGCTGTGATTTGCTGGCACTGCCCTGCACCATTCACTTAGACAAGAATAATTTACACAAATGACTTAATCTCTCTTACTAGCTATTGTTGAGCACACCTATGTTTATTTCTCTTCTTGTTGGAATGTCTCCTCTAACAGTGTTTTCAAAGAGCGCCTATATATGATAAACCCTCTGATCTCTTATATACCTGATAGTTTAGCTAGAAATCAAAATCTAGGTTCAAAGTTCTTTCTTTTTGATACTTAAAAATATTATTTAACTATCTTCTTAAATCCAGTGTTGCTGTTAAGAAATCTGAAGTCAATTTTATTTTTGTTCCTTCCTCAGCGCTCTGCTATCCAGTTGCCTGGAATATAGATGTGATGGCTGGAGCTTTAGCTGCCAGCTTGGATCACAAAGATGAGATGGGGGAATAGTGATTCCCCCTCACTGGTGATTCCCCCTTCCTCTTCCTCAGCCTGATGTTACCATCCTTGGCTAGCACAGCTGTTTTTTGCCTCCCAGCACCATAACAGTGGGCGTGGGGGTGGAGGGGGGATGGAGCTGGGGCTGGGCAAGGATCTATGGAGGCCAATGTGGGCAGAGAAAAGAGCACATGATAAGGTGTTTACTCAGTCTATCCCCATATACGGCACCCAGTCCTCATCTGCAAGGGACATCTGTTTCCTTCCCACACTCCACGACCCAACCCCCTGCTACCTCCAAGGGGGTAGGGTGGTGGGAGGATGCTTCTCATGGTTTTTACATTAGTTTCTTTATCCTCTTCAACCTTCCACTTGCTTCTGTGGCATCTTCAGGATTGTATTCACAGGAAGGGGCCAGCATCTCAAGTACAATATCATCTTGCCAGCCTTGCATTATTTTTTTCATAGCACCAATCACCATCTGAAGCTGTTATTTATGTGTTTCCTTGTTTATTGTCTCTTTCTCCCAGCCCCCACTAGAACATCAGCTCCATGAAGGTAGGAACTTGTCCCGTTCCCAGCTGTCTCCCCAGCACTGGGCACAGCACATGGTAGAGGCTGAATGACCAAGTTACTGAGCTGGTGCTGGAACCCAACCTGATTCCAGCCCAGGGCTTCTTGTTCCAAATCTTGGGCTTTTCCTACCCAAGCCCCTGGATCTCAGCCCTGGGCAAAGATGGTATCCAGAGGCAAGAGGTCATATTAACTAGGACCCCAACAAAGATATGGGACCCTTCTCCCAAACACTGGCTAAAACAACTGCTAGATGATCTGACTTAGGGCAGGGCTGCTTGCCCATATTTGAATCCCTGCTGCTTGCACACAGTAGGTGCTCAAAACAGGTTTGTTTTATTGAACGGACATACAATCCCTCCAGGAGGAGATGTTTCAGCATAATTATAAGAGGCAGGAAACAGAGTAACTAGAAGAGCAGATTGGGGGTTATATGGTGAAGGAGAGAGCTGAGTATTAACATGTTCTTGACCCAAAGGGGCCTTTGGTCTATAGCATGTAACAGAGAAGTAAAGAGCCTTGACCAGAGCTGTCCCATGCCACTAACCACATGAAGCTAGTTACATTTAATTAAACTTCAATAAAATGTAAAATTCAGTTCTTCAGTTGCACTAGGCAGATTTCAAGTGCTCGATAATAGCCACATGTGGCTAGTGGCTACCGCACTGGACAGGACAGATAACATAAAACATTTCCATCATCACAAAATGTTCTATTGGACAAGCTGACCTAGACCCTTAGAATAAAGGAAATGATTCCTGTTTCTGACTTGGCCTCCTGACACCCTCTTGTCCCCCTGCCCCACATAGATCCAAGCACCACCAGTGCCCCACATCTGCCTTCCTCCACTTTCTGCTCCCCAGGGAGCAGTGCCGTCTGCCTTCTAGGTTTTCACCCCCAGTGCGGAGGGCAGCGCCCTGCAGGTAATAAGCGTGTGTTGACATAATGAGGCCTCAATTAGTTTTTGTTAAACGCTGAAGGCCCAAAAGGTGAGTTAAGTGACAGAAGTAACAGAAGAAACCCCTGTTTCCCCTCTTTCCCCTACCCCCTTTTCTGCACCCCTTTCTCTGGTGCCCCCCTCTCACTCCAGAGCAGCACAGTTAAGGGCCGGCCCTGCCCCCAAAAGTTCCTGTCCCCGAACCACACGGACTCCTCAGAAACATCTGCTCCAGGTCTCAAATCGAGCTAACTTGTGAGGGTATATTTGTTCACACAATGATTTTGTCTTCCTCCACTTTCGGCTGCCCTGGACCTAGTAGGTGCTCAGTAAGTGCTTGTAGGATGGATGGATGGACGGACGGACGGACGGAGGGACGGACGAATGGCCATAGGGCAGTTTCCCCGCGTCTGCCACGGTACTGCGGGGGGCGCCACCATTGAGGACCCGGGGGTCGGGCGGGGCGCAGCCCTCGGGGGCGTGTCCTCCGGGACCCGGGCGCCGCCGTCCC